TCTGATTCGTCCAGCTCTGCTTTTTTCCCTCAAGACTGCTTTGGCTATTCAGTGTCTTATGGGTCTCCATACAAATTTTAAGATTTCTTGTTCTAGTTCTGTAAAAAATGCCATTGGTAATATGATAGGGATTGCACTGAATCTGCAGATTGCTTTGGGTAGTATAGTCATTTTCACAATATTGATTCTTCCAATCCAAGAACGTGGTATATCTCTCCATCTGCTGGTATCATCTTTAACTTCTTTCATCAGTGTCTTATAGTTTTCTGCATACAGGTCTTTTGTCTCCCTAGGTAGGTTTATTCCTAGGTATTTTATTCTTTTTGTTGCAATGGTAAATGGGAGGGTTTCCTTAATTTCTCTTTCAGATTTTTCATCATTAGTGTTTAGGAATGCAAGAGATTTCTGTGCACTAGTTTTGTATCTTGCAAATTTACCACATTCATTGATTAGCTCTAGTAGTTTTCTGGTGGCATTTTTAGGATTATCTACGTATAGTATCACGTCATCTGCAAACAGTGACAGTTTTACTTCTTCTTTTCCAATTTGCATTCCTTTTATTTCTTTTTCTTCTCTGATTGCCGTGGCTAGGACTTCCAAAACTATGTTGAATAATAGTGGTGAGAGTGGACATCCTTGTCTTGTTCCTGATATTGGAGGAAATGGTTTCAGTTTTTCACAATTGAGAATCATGTTTGCTGTGGGTGTGTTGCATATGGCCTCTATTATGTTGAGCTAGGGTCCCTCTATGCCCACTTTCTGGAGAGTTTTTATCATAAATCAGTGTTGAATTTTGTCAAAAGCTTTTTCTGCATCTATTGAGATGATCATATGGTTTTTATTCTTCAATTTGTTAATATGGTGTATCACATTGATTGATATGCATATATCGAAGAATCCTTGCATCCCTGGAATAAACCCCACTCGATCATGGTGTATGATCCTTTTAATGTGCTGTTGGATTCTGTTTGCTAGTATTTTGTTGAGGATTTTTGCATCTATATTCACCAGTGATATTGGTCCCTAATTTTCTTTTTTTGTAGGATCTTTGTCTGGTTTTGGTATCAGGGTGATGGTGGCCTCATAGAATGAGTGTGGGAGTGTTCCTTCCTCTGCAATTTTTGAAAGAGTTTGAGAAGGATGGGTGTTAGCTCTTCTCTAAATGTTTGAATGAATTCTCCTGTGAAGCCATCTGGTCCTGGACTTTTGTTTGTTGGAAGATTTTTAATCACAGTTTCAATTTCACTTACTTGTGATTGTTCTGTTCATATTTTCTATTTCTTCCTGGTTCAGTCTTGGTAGGTTATACCTTTCTAAGAATTTGTCCATTTCTTCCAGGTTGTCCATTTTATTGGCATAGAGTTGCTTGTACTAGTCTCTTAGGATGCTTTGTATTTCTGCAGTGTCTGTTGTAACTTCTCCTTTTTCATTTCTAATTTTCTTGATTTGAGTCCTATCCCTCTTTTTCTTGATCAGTCTGGCTAATGATTTATCAATTTTGTTAATCTTCTCAAAGAACCAGCTTTTAGTTTTATTGATCTTTGCTATTGTTTTCTTTGTTTCTATTTCATTTATTTCTGCTCTGATCTTGATTTCTTTCCTTCTGCTAACTTTGGGTTTTGTTTGTTCTTCTTTCTCTAGTTCCTTTAGGTGTAATGTTAGATTGTTTATTTGAGATTTTTCTTGTTTCTTGAGGTAGGATTGTATAGCCATAAACTTCCCTCTTAGAACTGCTTTTGCTGCATCCCATAGGTTTTGGATCATTGTGTATTCATTGTCATTTGTCTCTAGGTATTTTTTGATTTCCTCTTTGTTTTTTTAGTGATCTCTTGGTTATTTAGTAACGTATTGTTTAGCCTCCATGTGTTTGTGTTTTTTAATTTTTTTCCCCTGTAATTCATTTCTCATCTCATAGTGTTGTGGTCAGAAAAGATGCTTGATATGATTTCAATTTTCTTAAATTTACTGAGGCTTGATCTGTGACCCAAGATGTGATCTATCCTGGAGAATGTTCCGTTCACACTTGAGAAGAAAGTGTAGTCTGCTGTTTTGGGATGGAATGTCCTATAAATATCAATTAAATCTATCTGGTCTATTGTGTCATTTAAAGCTTCTGTTTCCTTATTTTCATTTTGGATGATCTGTCCATTGGTGTAAGTGAGGTGTTAAAGTCCCCCACTATTATTGTGTTACCGTCGATTTCCTCTTTTAGAGCTGTTAGCAGTCACCTTATATATTGAGGTGCTCGTATGTTGGGTGCATATATATTTATAATTGTTCTATCTTCTTGGATTGATCCCTTGATCATTATGTAGTGTCCTTCCTTGTCTCTTGTCACATTCTTTATTTTAAAGTCTATTTTATCTGATATGAGTATTGCTACTCCAGGTTTCTTTTGATTTCCATTTGCATGGAAGTATCTTTTTCCGTCCCCTCACTTTCAGTCTGTATGTGTCCCTAGGTCTGAAGTGGGTCTCTGGTAGACAGCATATAGATGGGTCTTGTTTTTGTATCCATTCAGCAAGCCTGTCTTTTTGTTGGAGCATTTAATCCATTCACGTTTAAGGTAATTATCGACATGTATGTTCCTATGACCATTTTGTTAATTGTTTTGGGTTTGTTTTTGTAGGTCCTTTTCTTCTCCTGTGTTTCCCACTTAGAGAAGTTCCTTTAGCATTTGTTGTAGAGCTGGTTTGGTGGTGCTGAATTCTCTTAGCTTTTGCTTGTCTGTAAAGCTTTTGATTTCTCCATCGCATCTGAATGACAGAGTAGAGTAATCTTGGTTGTAGGTTCCTCCCTTTCATCACTTTAAGTATATCATGCCACTCCCTTCTGGCTTGTAGAGTTTCTGCTGAGAAATCAGCTGTTAACTTTATGGGAGTTCCTTTGTATGTTATTTGTCATTTTTGCCTTGCTGCTTTCAATAATTTTTCTTTGTCTTTAATTTTTCCAATTTGATTACTATGTGTCTTGGCATGTTTCTCCTTTGATTTATCCTGTATGGGACTCGCTGCACTTCCTGGACTTGAGGTGGCTATTTCCTTTCCCATGTTAGGGAAGTTTTTGACTATAATATCTTCAAATATTTTCTCTGGTCCTGTCTCTCTCTCTTCTCCTTCTGGGACCCCTATAATGTGAATGTTGTTGCATTTAATGTTGTCCCAGAGGTCTCTTAGGCTGTCTTCATTTCTTTTCATTTTTTTTTTCTTTATTCTGTTTTGCAGCAGTGAATTCCACCATTCTGTCTTCCAGGTCACTTATCCGTTCTTCTGCCTCAGTTATTCTGCTATTGATTCCTTCTAGTGTAGTTTTCATTTCAGTTATTGTATTGTTCATCTCTGTTTGTTCTTTAATCCTTGTAGGTCTTTGTTAAACATTTCTTGCATCTTCTCTATCTTTCCCTCCATTCTTTTTCTGAGGTCCTGGATCATCTTCACTATCATTATTCTGAATTCTTTTTCTGGAAGGTTGCCTATCTCCACTTCATTTAGTTGTTTTTCTGGGGTTTTATGTTGTTCCTTCATCTGGTACATAGCCCTCTGCCTTTTCATCTTGTCTCTCTGTGAATGTGGTTTTTTTCCACAGGCTCCAGGTTTGTAGTTCCTCTTGCTTCTGCTGTCTGCCCTCTGGTGGATGTGGCTATCTAAGAGGCTTGTGCAAGTTTCCTGATGGGAGGGACTGGTGGTAGGTAGAGTTGACTGTTGCTCTGGTGGGCAGAGCTCAGTAAAACTTTAATCTGCTTGACTGCTGAGGGTGGGGCTGGGTTCCCTCCCTGTTGGTTGTTTGGCCTGAGGCAACCCAACACTAGAGCCTACTTGGACTCTTTGGTGGGGCTAATGGCCGACTCTGGGAAGGCTCATGGCAAAGTGTACTTCCCGGAACTTCTGCTGCCAGTGTCCTTGTCCCCACAGTGAGCCACAGCCATGTCCCGCCTCTGCAGGAGACCCTCCAACACTAGCCGGTAGGTCTGGTTCAGTCTCTATGGGGTCACTGCTCCTTCCTGGGGGTCCTGATGCACACACTACTTTGTGTGTGCCCTCCAAGAGTGGAGTCTCTGTTTCCCCCAGTCCTGTTGAAGTCCTGCAATCAAATCCCACTAACCTTCAAAGACTGATTCTCTAGGAATTCCTCCTCCCGTTGCCGGACCCCCAGGTTGGGAAGCCTGACGTGGTGCTCAGAACCTTCACTCCAGTGGGTGGACTTCTGTGGTATAAGTGTTCTCCAGTCTGTGAGTCACCCACCCAGCAGTTATGGGATTTGACTTTATTGTGATTGCGCCCCTCCTACCATCTCATTGTGGCTTCTCCTTTGTCTTTGGATGTGGGGTGTCTTTTTTGGTGAGTTCCAGTGTCCTCCTGTTGATGATTGTCCAGCAGCTAGTTGTGATTCTGGTGTTCTCACAAGAGGGAGTGAGAGCATGTCCTTCTACTCCGCTGTCTTCATTCTTGCATGATATTTTTGTTTCTGAGTAAAAAATTATAGTTGCTGTCTAATACAGTTGCCATGAGCCACATGTGGCTGCTGAGTACTTGAAACACGATGAATCCAAGTGTAGAGAGGCTTGCTTTTGTTGGCTCCTGGGACATTCTGAGCTTTCCCCTGCTTGAGTCTTGCACTGCTGAAAGTCCTTTGCTCTGACCGTGATTGGCTCTGGTTCAGCTCACCTCCTCAGAGAGGCTGCTCCTGTCCCCAGGCACCAGAGGGACTATTGACTGTATCACCCTTTGCTCTGGGGCTTGCTGATGATAGGCAAGGGGCCCTGGAAGGAGGGTCCAGATGGAGCGGCCCCACTGGAAGGCCCGAGAGTGTCTGACGGGGTTTGTGGCCTGTGCAGAGGGGTGATTGTGAGGTCCTGAGAAATGGCTGGACCGCCCTGGGACCGTGCAGGGTTGCAAGGCCCTGGGAGGCCGGGCGACGGCTGCACAGGACCTCAGGGAGAGGGCGAGCTTGGAAGGGTGCCTCCGGGCCAGTGGTTCTAAGCTAACATCAAGGTCTGCCAGTTCGTGGTAGCCACAGCACCCACGGTGGTCCCCCACCCGATGGCGGCCCAGGCCAGCGCTTTCCAGGTGCCCTCCGGAACCGCCTAGCCCACGACGAGGGTCATTCTCGTCCCATTGAGTCACCTGGACTGGGACGCGGGGCCCGGCCCAAGGTCACAGAGCCAGCCAGTGGAGGAGGTGGATTCGAACCCTGAGCCGGGCCAACGTTACCGGGACTTTCTTGTCAGGCCAGAGCCAAGGCTGCCCACCCGGCGTATCCCAGGGACCGGACTGGCCTGCGGACCCGGTGGCGGGGAACGGAGTGCTGGGGCATCTGGGAGCCTGTCAAAGAGCTCAGCCTTTTATTCTATTCAGGACTTAAATGAATTGGATGAGGCCCACCCACATTGGGGAGACCAATCTGCTTTACTTGGTCTGCTGATTCAGATGTTAATCTCATCCAGAAGCACTCTCACAGATATACCCAGAAATAATATTTAACCAAATATCTTGGCACCCCATGGCCAAGTTGACACATAACATTAATCGTCACAGGTGTGAACATTTTAACGACAGATTGCTTTCCAGGACAGAGCATAGTTGTTTCACTAAAAACTCACGAGCTTGGAGTACAGTCATTTCTAATTTTTGCTAAAGGTGAACAATGGTGCTCCCTTGCTATTTTAATATGCATTTCTTTGATTAGCATCTGCCCTACCTCATTTGTAAAGTAAGGAAATTGAGGTCCAGATGGGTATGTAATATAGTTAATGACACAACCAAGACCAGAACGCTTGATCCCTGGCTCCATCCACTGTCCTTTCCAGTTTTTTCAGGACAAACTAGGTTTGTTTGGTTTGACTATAAACAATCCCTGTTTCTCCTACCCTCTTTTCTTGTTTGGCAAACACACCCTGAGGTGACCCCGGCCCCCAGTGATATCCTGCCTCCTGGTGGCCACACCTTTGTGTGTTTCCCCTCTCCATGTGTTGCAGGCAGGACCTGTGACTTGCTTTCGAGCAATATAGAATACGGCAAAGGTGATGGGGTGTTACTCCTGTGATTATACTGCATTATATAAAATCCCACGTTAGTAGAGTGGAACAGGAGATTCTCTTTGCTGGCTTGCGGAAACAAGCAGCCATGTTGAGGGAACCCACATGGCAAGGAACTTTGGGTGTCCTGTAGGATCTGCAGACAGCTTCCAACTGATGGCTATGAGAAGCCAGGGCCTTCACTCATACAAGGAAATAAGTTTTGCAAACAACCTAACTTAGCTTGGAAGCAGCTTCTTCCAGATATAGTTGAGCCTCCCGGTCAGAAGGCCTCCTGGCCAACACCTTAACTGCAGGCTTGTGAGACCCTGAGCTGAAGATCCAGTAAAGCTGTGCCCAGACTCTTGACCCACAGAAACTGTGAGATAATAAGTGTGTGTTGTTTTAATCCACTCCGTTTGTGGTTTTTTTGTTTCACAGCATAGAAAACCAACACACTGTGCTCCCTGGAAAACTTTTCATTTTCTTATTCCATTACTCCAGAAAAGTCTGGATTTCCATCAGTGAGTACAGTCTGGAGAAAAGTTCAGATAGTTTAGTGAATACATATGGCCCATGTGTTCACGTTGCCTGATTCATTAACTGAGAGACCAAGTATACTAATGAATTCACATTTACATCTGCCTGACATATCTCGTGAAAGCAGTTAAAACTCAGCAAATGAAGTATGTGTTGTTTTCCCCCCACCCCTTCTTTGTGATTAAAGAACTCTGAGGCTTCAAAATAACTCAGAGAGGATGAGTTAGAGCCCTGGGGGGTTGCTATGTATAGGAATATATTGTGGAGAGGAGCCGCTGAAGACCTGTCTCTCCAACCAAAGGCAAGGGTGGCGCTTATAAAGGCAAAAGCCACAAAGCTTCACAAGGTAACATGATGGGTCAGTTTAACCAAGTCCTTGGCTTGTCAGTTCAGGATTGGTTGGTTGTAGTGAGGCTGAACTCCGAGTTCCTTCCTTGAGTCTAGATAGCATAGTCACAGGTTCACATCAGGCCCGTCTCACTCTAATCAGTTTCCTGGGAAGCAGTTTCTCTGGCTCCTTCAGGGGCCCTCACTGCTATTTACACCCTTCAGGCCCTGTGTTCTGTGGGCAAGTCCTATTTGCACACTCAAGGCTCAGAGAAAATTCCCTTTATCAATTTGCATAGTGAATAGGGGGGTGGTTTCAAGGGAGTTTTAATTTAAAAGGAATTTTTAAATTGCTCTAGGAAGAAATGGCAAAATCATGACTCTAATCCAGTGATTTAGCCTTAACTGCTCATTAAAATCATCTGGGGAGCTTTTAAAACATAGGATGCCTGTGACCCCACTCCAGAACAATTAAATCAAAATCTCTGAGTAAGAGGCCGTGCTATCAGAATGTTTTAAAGGCTCCCCAGGTGATTCTAACGTACAGCCAGGCTCCAATACTGCGTATCTAATTGGTTTACCCTGCAATAGGGAAGGGTGATTATTTGGTAAGACATTAACTGCTACTTGTACTAGTGTAACTGTAAATATGAGAGGCCAATTCAGAAACCTAACATTTTCAGATTTAGATGAGGAAACTGCCAAATAACCCCAAATAGTATTACCAGACACAAGGAAGCCTTGTGTCAGATTGAACATATATACTTCCCCACTTGGATATTTAATGGGCATCTCAAAACTTAACATTTCCAAAACAGTATATTCCCCCAAAAATCTATTCCTCTTATGATCTTTCCCAGCTGATTAAATGTCAGTTTCATTCCACCAGTTTCTCATGCAAAAAACAAAAACACACACCTCTGTTTTTCTTGTTTCCCACAACCGATCCTTCAGCAAATCTTGTTGACTCTACCTTCAAAACACGTCCAGAATTGAACCCCTTCTTACTCCTCCACTGCGACCTCCCTAGTCTAAACCATATGATTTCTCACCAGTCTCCCCACTTCCTCCCTTACTTGTATTGCAGTGATTCTTAATTATATAGCCCTACAACAAACAAAATTCCATGAAAAGCATGGCATTTTTACTTATTTCCAAATCTCTTTAATATCTGGCTTAACTGAAGACAGCTGGATTCTCATAACTGCTTCTGTAGTCAATCTGCCATGAAATGTTTTGTTGGCTGAAGTATATGAAAAAAATCTAGCCTCATACGGATATATATTGATAGTTGAAAAAGGATGGACTGTTTTAATAGCCTTTTCAGATAACTGTGGATATTCTTCTTTGATACTATGCCAAAAGTTGACAAATGGTAGTTCTTAAAGGTTAGTATAAATGGGGAATTTGAAACCATATCAATAAACTTTTCATGCTGTCAATACTATACAGGCAAAGACCACCAGGCACATACCTATAATTGAACAAAGTTAGGTTTGCTGAATGTTCCAGGCCAGCTAATGGCAGCCACAGCTGATAACATATGGAGAAGAACCACCCAGCTGAGCTCAGTTATTCCACAGAATTGTGAAGTATAATAGTTATTGTTGTTTAAAGCCACTAACTTTGGGGATAATTGGTTATCCAGCAATAGATAACCCAAGACATTTGACAATCCCAGGAATTAAAGTTTTACCGTGTTAGTTACACGAAGGATAGTGTCAGGAAGGGCTCATACTTCCCAGAAACATTATTTTCTAAGAATATACTAACAGTCTTTTCCTATTGCGGGATTTTTGACATATCTTCAAGTTACAAATATTTTGGAGGTTTGTTTTCTAAGCAATTACAACTGCTGCTGGACAGAGAACTCACATGTGGTTATAATTAGGGTTCCATAAATCTCTAATAATTGTTGTTTCAAGTTTGAATGTTTATTTCTGTAGAACTCAAAACCCCCTTTACCTGTGTTTTAATGATTAAAACAAAGTCATAAATTTCTTAATCTTTGGGTTAGTATCTTGAAATATTTCCCAGGCACAGACTTCAGATACTAAGCATAACCTCAAAACCACTTCTCAGGGGCTTCCCTGGTGGCGCAGTGGTTGAGAGTCCGCCTGCCAATGCAGGGGACACGGGTTCGAGCTCTGGTCTGGGAAGATCCCACATGCCGCGGAGCAACTAGGCCTGTGAGCCACAACTACTGAGCTTGCGCATCTGGAGCCTGTGCTCCGTAACAAGAGAGGCCGCGATAGTGAGAGGCCCGCGCACCGCGATGAAGAGTGGCCCCCGCTTGCCACAGCTAGAGAAAGCCCTGGCACAGAAACGAAGACCCAACACAGCCATAAATTAATTAATTAATTTTAAAAAAACACAAAAAATACCCCACTTCTCAGGCAGGTGTGCGCTGGCCTGCTCCAGGCAGGAGGTCACTGCTCCCAGAGGCAGCTTAGTTCTGTTTTCAGAGAGATGTACATGTTGGAAAGTTTTCCCTTGTATCAAACATCAGCCTGGTATGAGGGTCTGGAGTCAGAAGACACGGAGTTTGATTCCCAGCTATGGGATCTGGGAGGTCATCTGAGCTCCCTGCCGTCCTGCTCTTTAGGAGGCGGGAGCCATAAACACCCACACAGGTGTGTTGATTCTGGGGGCTAATAAACACAAAATCAGAAACACAGAATTGTCTTGACTGAACCCTCTTCTTGGTCTGAAACTATAGGACACAGGGCTGAATCTCTATTACTGACCAATTATAAATCATTTTTTTCCCAGCTGAAGATAATTTTAGGTGTTCATTTTTGTAAACATTAGATTATTATATTTTAATTTTAACTATTTCAAATGTACTCGGATTTTTTTTTTACTAAAGTTGTTTTTACAGAATCTTACGTTTATGGCAAAGGATACTGATTTTTCAATTACAGCATTGAGGTAGTGTTTTCTTTTAAAATAAGAGTGTCCAGGGACTTCACTGGCAGTCCAGCAGTTAAGATAGTGCTTCCAATGCAGGGGGTGTGGGTTCCATCCCTGGTCAGAGAACTAAGATCCCACATGCCGTGGGTGTGGTCAAAACATTAAAAAATAATAATAAAAATAAGAGATCCAGAGTTTGAGAAACATCAGACTTGCAGACAAAGTCCAGACTGTATGATCCAGCCTGTGCCCATCTCTACAGTCTCAAATCTGAGCTGCTTCCAAACAGCCACTTGGGTTTTCCTATGGTTCCCCCAGGTATACCCTACCTTTCACATACTGGTTCCCTGATCCTGAACTGCATGTGTCCCACCCAACTCTCCCCACCTGTTGGCCTAGCCTCATTCTTTAAAACCCAGCTCAAATGCCTTCTCCTGTGTGAGGCCTTCTGGGAACCCATCTTCTCCTCAATCCAGCTTTCCTTGGGTTCCTTCCACTAAATCCCAACTCGCACACTCACAGTGATCCGCTTACGTGCCAGCTCCACCAGCTCCCTAGTAACAGAGGGCAGGTATCGTACCCTATTCACATTGTGTCTCCAGCAACTGGCCAGACACTCCACAAATATCATTTGAGTTAATGAATATTAATAAGGGTCAAAAATTTCCTTGTTTCTAGGTTGGAATCCACCACTAGGATACAAATTCCTACAAGTGTTTCTGGGAAGATTAACAAAACTGTATCACACAGAACCCAACCTCGTCATGGCAACAAAAAAAAATCCTTTTTTTTTTTTTAACAGAAAGATTAAAAACAAGCTACACAGATTTTTATGTAAATAATAATATGCTGGTGTTTCGAGCACATGGGGAAATGTACCCTCATACATTGTCGGTAGAGGTGTAAATTGGTGCAAAAAATGCTCATTCTCTTTGACCCAGTATTTCTACTTCTGGATGACTATTTTCAGAAACACTCTCAAGAGTACCAAAATCACTTGTACACAGACGTTCTTGGCAGCATTGCTTGTAATAGCAAAAAAAAATTAGAAGCTACCCCAAAGTCCATTAATGAAGGATGGGGTAAAAAAAAAAAATTATGAAACACTATGCAGTCATTAAAGAGAATTATCTACCATTAGCTGTGGTTACTCCTGGGGTGTGCATTTATATGGGACTTTCACTTTCTATTCATATAGTGCACCATCAAAGCTTTCGGTGAAATTCTGGGAAAAAATCTAATTGGCAAGGCTATTATTATTCAGTATCCTTTAAGGTTTTTCTTATGATCATGAGATACTTTTTAAAAAATATATTTAATTTATTTATTTGGCTGTACCTGGTCTTAGTTGTGGTGCACTGGATCTTCGTTGGGGCATACAGGATCTAGTTCCCTGATCGAACCCGGACCCCCTGCATTGGGAGCATGAAGCCTTAACCACTGGACCACCAGGGAAGTCCCATGATCATAAGATACTTTTGTAATTAAAAAAATACAAATAAACCAGACTACAGTTTGATGTTCCTTTAAATAAGGGCCCCTACACCTCAATAAATGTTATTTTTAAAGCCACTAGATGTCACTCTGAGCAAATGCTCTGTGTCATAGCGTGGCTGTTAGAAAACGCTGATCCCTCAGCACCAACTAGCTAGAAGTAGAGACGTTATCTGGTCTCGGAAACACTGACTTCCGGGGAAGAGTCCCCGCAGAGCTCCAGCAGGTGCCACACAGTGTGCCAAGGGGTGCAAGTGAGGAAAGGTGAGACACAGACACAGGACACCTGAGGGAGGCAGGGCTGGACCTGGATCCTGAGCTGGGAAAGGGATCCTCCCAGCAGAAGCGGAGCCCACCATGGCCACAGTCATGCAGCTTCGGCTTACTTCTGGGCCATGAATTTATGTGTATTAGCTGCCAAAATTTTGCTTCCAAAATTTCTACCTTCAGGCAAAACCTTTCCAGCACCTAGGAAGGAGTTGTGGGGAAAAAAAGAAAATCCAGCCCAAATCTGATCAAACTTCTGGATCTACCTAGCAAATGACAGGCGCTACAGAGCCCAGAGGAATTCGTGAAATGACAACAGGAGCTTACAGTCAGCAAAACCCAGACTGGGGACTCTACACGACCAATAACCTGGTTTCTTCAACAAATAAATTATAAGGAGACAAATAGAAAGAGATGAAGGGGAAACCCTTAAATCAAACGAGGCTTAAGAGCCCTGTCAACCAACTGCAACGTATAGAACTCATTTGGATCCCTAATCAAAGAAACTAATGGAAAAAAAAAATCAGATGTGTGAATAGTGACTGGATATTTAATATTTCAGAATTACTGTTAAGTTTTTAGGTATGATAATGATATTAAGGTTTTTTTGTTTTTAAGTCCTTAGAGAAACATACTGAAATATTTACTGGGATTTGTTTCAAAATAAGGAGCAGTGTGAGGGGCTATAGATGAAATCACACTGGCCCTGAGTTGATCATTGTTGAAGCTGGGTGATTACATGAGTTAATTATACTGTTCTTTTTACTTTTTTGTTTGAATTTTACTATAAGCATTGTTTAAAATTAGACATCAGCGTTAAGATGAGAGGAATAAATGACATACTTGCCAAAGCAAACAATCAGAGAAACTTCCTCAGGGCACAACTAGAGCCAGATGAGTACCACAGCAGTCAGTAAATTTCCCAGTGGACAAGAGTTAAATAAACACAGTTCGTTTATCAGTTCTGTGGGATTTGGGAGGGGAAATTAAGCCTCAGTTTCCTTATCTGTAAATGGGCATCACATCAGTATTTTCCAGGGGAGTCACGAGACTTAAATGAAAGAAGCATATCAAAGAGTATTTTGAAACCCATGACAAACTACCCGAGCGCTAGCAGTAGTTTATGTGGTAACACTAGTTCATTTATTCACACGTATGTTCCATAAACATTTATGAAGGGCCAGATGCTGCGTTAGGCACTGTGAATACAAAGATGATGGGACTTTAGCCGGTTTTGTCTAATTCCGTGTTTCTCAACCCTGGGCACACATTAAAAATACCAATGCCTGGGCATTCGCCCAGACTAATTAAGTCAGAGTCTCTGGATGTGGGTCTTGGCATAGGGATTTTGTTTGTTTAGAGCTTCACAAGTGATTGATTCCACTGTGGGGCCACGGTTGAGAACCATTCATCTAATTGATTTTGTTCAATGAGTAGTTCTGAGCAATCTTTAAGAAGCCTGGGTCTTAAAAAAAAATGGTACAAATGAACTTATTTACAAAACAGAAATAGAGTCACAGATGTAGAAAAACTTATGGTTACCAGGGGGAAAAGGGGGTGGGGAGGGATGAATTGGGAGATTGGGATTGACGTATACACGCTATCATATATAAAATAGATAATAAGGACCTACTGTATAGCACAGGGAACTCTTTTCAATACTCTGTAATGGCCTACATGGGAAAAGAATCTTAAGAAGAGTGGATATATGTATCTGTATAACTGATTCACTTTGCTGTACAGCAGAAACTAACACAACATTGTAAATCAGTTATATTCTAATAAAACAATTTTTTTTTAAAAAAGCCTGGGTCTTGGCTTATGTAATTTTCAAGCAACTTTTAATGACTAGAGCACCCTCTAAGGTGTTTGCTCTCTGAAAGGACAAGGACTTGTCCAGCTGTGCACTGATTGTGGCCATCTGGCCACACCTGACTTCCCAGTAGTTGACAAAAGAGACAGGGAATTTTAGGTATTTCCCATGGAATTTTCCATGGTGTTTTTCTTCCCTATAGGGGATTTATCTTTTCTGATTATAAAAGGTTTGGGGTTTTGTAAAAGTCCCAGTTTCAGATACGAACAAAGGAGACGGGTCAGGGTTCCTGACTCACATTCCGAGTCAGACCTCCCAGAGTTTGCATCCCTGAGTCATGCTGAGCCCTGAAACCACAGGGTGTGAGGGAGGACAGCAGTGAGCCTGGCCACACCAATCTACTCAGCACAGAATTCCCCACAAACACTTCCTGTTTGACCTTCCAGTTTGTCCCAGAAGATTCTGAAAAGAGAGACATAGGATCCGTTGAAATGCATAATAACGGAAAGAAAATCAGGTTGAGAGTAAAGTTTCTGGAGAAACAAAGTAAAATAATGCTGTGAAAGCAGCATCCCAGATTCTCCAAGTCTCTTTACTAGATGCATGAGTTGTGTAAAACCATGGAAATAAAGATTTACTTGTGGTGGGATCTTATGTTACTCCTTCCCTCTACATATCCAGGCATCTTTCTTCCTCAACACATATCCTCAAATGCAAGCACCTGGATGGGATCTTTGTGGGTACCAAGGAAGTCCAGAAGAAGGAAAGCATATGCTCTGGAACCACAGATGCTAAGTGATACCCCAGCTCTACCCCTTACCCATGTGTAAAAGGCTGAAATGTTTCCCTATCTGTACAGTGAGGTTCATGATAATATTTCATAACGTTGCTGGGAGGATTAAATGAGATAAAGTGTAAATGAGATTAAGTGAGATAAAGAATGCTTAGCACAGCATCTACTGCATAGTAAACTATGATTAAGTTTAACACAGGATCTACTGCCAGAAATCCCCCAGACCAGGGCTTCTTAAATTTTGTGCATATGAATCACCTGGAGACCTTGCAATTCAGGGTACAAGTTTTAGTATGGGAAGATGAAAAAGTTCTGGAGATGGATGGTAAGGTTGCACAACAATGTAAATTACCTAATGCCACTGAACTGTACTTTTTAAAGTGATTAAAATGGCAAATTTTGTTATGTACGTTTTATCACAATTTTTTCTTAAAAATCTTTTTTTTTTTTTAAAGCACTTCAGAAGCATTTCTAGTAAGCTCCTAGGGGAGACTGATGATGTTGGTTTGCAGACCACACGTTGAGTAGCAAGGTCCTCTGGGTAATGAACCACTACCATCAAATCTATATTGCACTTTACAGTTTACATAAGGCATTTCTACATCCCTTGTCTCTGTGATCCCCACAGTAACAACACAAGATACTGTATTCAAAGCAAACAAAATTCTTCCTCACCTACAGACAACCCCTTGATCTTGGGTCGTAGCCCTTTACATCACATCAGGACTGTCTCTCTATATAGGCAGATAGGATGTTACTTGAGGGCCTCTTCATTTTTTTCCAGTTTTTGACTGCTTTTTTTAGGCCAAGTCTCCCAAGCAAATGCTTCCCGTATCAACCTAGGCCTTCCTTCCCCGTTTATGTTTATGGCTGGGGTAAAGATAGGTTCTCCAGCCTAAATAGGGAGCATTTGCTTCACCCACTGGATGCTTGCCTTCCTCCCAATCTGCTCGGGGGCATTTCAAATATTTCCTCTGTATTTACCATCTTACTGACAGAATACATGGAAAACGGCTTTGTCATGTCCGTTGAGTGCGAGACCTGACAGCATTTGTTGGAATTATAGTTTTTGTTTAGTCATCACTGCTACATATCTGCAAGTGAAAACAGAGCTGGGCGCTCTCAGCTACACTGTGTGTGCTACATGATCACCAGCCCAAAACAGCAGTTCCCCAAGTGTGCCTATGTAACCTAGTGAGAGTACCCTTCCCTGGAGAGCTATGAACATAGCCCTAATTAGTGCATTTGCTCACAGCTCTTTCTGTACGTTCATGCAGTTTCGGACTTTGGGCTGTCACTTGGAGTCATCTGCAGGAATCCTGCAGTAATGTGTCCATTTCCCAAGCCATTGGGAACAAGAACAGGGTCACTGGGCATCCGTAACTCCACTTGAAAGAGTAGGTTGTCCTGTCAGCTTCCTAATCCAAGAAGAAACCACGTTGCCGAGGCCAAAGTGCCTGCCGCCAGCTCCTCCAACAGTGGGATTCCCTACAACCACCAGCAGGATTTCTTGGGCGTCTCAAATCTCAAAAAGAAAGGAGGCAGGGAAGGCACCCTAGAGTTCAAGTCCCTTAGAACATAGTTCTCCACATTAGAATCATCTGGGGAGGCAAGCATTTTAAAAAATATTGACACCTGGGCCCCATTCCGGATCAACAGAATCAGAAAGTCTGGGGGTGGAAACTGGGCATCAACAATTATTTTAAAGTCTAATGTGTGGCCATGTTGAAAACCTCTACCTTAGAAGGCTTCTGTTTTGTTTTGTTTAGACCTTAATCAGAGCAAAAATTATAACTGACAAAGAGGCTGGAGCCTCTTTGTATTACAAAAGGAGCCTCTATGTATTACAAAACATAAGATTCAAATGTCTTTAATGACACAATGTGAACACTGAGTCTGAGCAAAGCAACAGTTTTGGTGAAACTGTAATCATGTTGTGTGTTTACCCCAAGAGTGAGGATAATTCGCTCTTCGGTGACAGCACAGAACCAAGGGCCGGCTGCCACCTTGAGAAGCCCTGGACTGCTGACCCAGCCCCGAGGCGAGAACCAGGAAGGAGGGTTTGATGTACCTTGCTCACAGCCCACCAAATACTAGCTGGACGCGTTGAATTTTGAAACAAAAAAAGTGTAACTAAAAGAATTACAAAAATTAATCTCTTTATCTGAGAGGTAAGTTTGGAATTAACTGTTCCAGGAAGTAGACAGCAAACATAGCAGAACTCGGCAAAGTAATAACACTCCAAATTCACTAAAAATCAGTACGTATTAAAACTTGATTTCTGGGGCTTCCCTGATGGCGCAGTGGTTGAGAGTCCGCCTGCCGATGCAGGGGACGCGGATTCGTGCCCCGGTCCGGAAAGATCCCACATGCCGCGGAGTGGCTGGGCCCGTGAGCCATGGCCGCTAGGCCTGCGCGTCCGGAGCCTGTGCTCCGCGACGGGAGAGGCCACAGCAGTGAGAGGCCCGTGTACCGCAAAAACAAACAAACAAACAAACTTGATTTCTGGATTTCTTGGTCACTCTGTCACACACTCACCTTCATCAGGAGGAGTATTTGGCTGGACATGCTTTAGAAAAATGAGATCTCCAAAATGTTTTATCTACAAAAAGTTTTAAAGACTTACAGTCTTTAAATCCATTCTCCTAAATGGATTTAAAGCATATTCTAAGCAGGGATCTCCAAACCTGGACAGATATCAGCTTTGGAAAAAATGCTGGAACAGAATCACCTAGGATGGGGTCGCAGAGCTTGTAGATGGCATATTTACTTCCCACTGCTGCTATAACAAATTACCAATTTAGTGGCTTAAAACAACATAAATTTATTCTCTTACAGTTCAGTAGGTCAGACATCCAACACAGGTCTCGGCGAGGCTGCTTTCTTTTCTGGAGGCTCTAGGAGAGCATCTGTTCCCTGCCTTGTCCAGCTTCTAGGGGCTGCCTACATCACTCGGCTCATGGCCCCTTTCTCCATCTTCAAAGCCAGCAACAGCACAGTGAGTTCTCACATCACCTCACTCTGACCTCCTCTTCTGCCTCCCTCCCCCTTCTTTAAGGGCCTGTGTAATTACATTGGGCCCATCTGGATAATGCAGGATGCTATCAACATCTCAAGGACCTTAATCACACCTGCAAAGTCCTTTTTGCCATGTAAGTTAACCCATTCACAGGTTCCGGGGATTAGGGTCTGGACCTCTTTAGGGAGGGCCATTAGTCAGCCCCGTACAAATGGTTAAATCTCCCCCAGATAAATCTGAGGCAGCTTGTCCATGCACCATCACTTGAGAACCACTGCTGAGTGTCAAAGCCTCTCTCCATCCCATATCTATCTCCCAGTCCCAGCCTTGATTGCCTTCTAATGAAATTCACATGGTTCTTTCCCCGTGTGCATTGTCATTCCTACCCACAACCTCCATCACAGTGGAGAGTGAGACCTCCAGATGATTTTCATTTATTCTCTCAGAAATGTTACTGAGTGTCTCTATTTTTCACTTTCCTCATTTTATTTTGAGAACAATTGGTTATAAGCCCTTACTAATCATAAATGTCTCCTTCAATATAATTCAGTTGGTTAAGAATGAGTTAATACACTAGTATATTCCCTAGAGTCTCGGTCAGAAAACATCAGTGTCCATATGCTTAAGAACCTAAATAAGTTAAAGTAACATTTTTTTAAAATATCTTTTTTACCTGGGGTGTTCTGGTTAAAAAGAACTAGCTCTTGTTAACTCAAGTAAGTGGAGGAAGGGTGGGATTTCTTATAAAGATACAGACAGAGCAATGAGAGCTGGAATCAAAGAGCAGAAAATGTAGTACTTGGGCATCATTCACCATGAAATTGAGAAGAGGAGGGATATTTCGGGATCCAAAGGCATCCTTAGAATATCAGCGGCAGAATGTTCTAAATCTTTCCTCTGAAGTGGCTTCCTGAATATAACTCAGCAAATTATCCCACTTTGGGGAATAAACATAGTCTTTTAAAACCCATTAAACTCAATGGCAACTATTGACATATATTTTAATATTTTTTATGAAAATATATAGAGTAAAAAATTCAAACAATATAAATAGGTATAAAATGAAAAAATTCTTCTAGAAAGAGACCTTTGTTAACAGTTTGTATATATCCTTCCAGAATTATTTAAAGGTACGCATAAGCATATTGGAATATATCTTTTTAAAAGCACATGTGAAGTTACATGATTTGTTCCTTGATTTTTTTTCACCAAACAATATATTTTGGTGACTTTTTCATATTCTTACACATAAGTCTACTTCATTCTTTTCAGTGGTTTGTTTTAACATATTCCATTCCATGGCTTACCATAATTTATTTAATTAGTCCCCAGCTGAGGAAGAGTTAGATGACCAGATTTTTGCAAATATAAACAATGCAATAAATAAATCCTCTTGTCCATTTTCCATTGTCCCCTTGTCTGATTATAGAGGCAAGGCAAATTCCTAGAAGTGGAATTTCTGAGTCAAAGGGTATGTGCATTTTAAATCTTATTAATTTGCCATCCATTGTATTTCTTCCGTGAACCATTTATTCATGTTCTTATTCTATTTCCTATTGAGTTACTCATTTTTTTCTTATTTATTTTAAAGTGATTTTTATATATGAAGGAACTTAGTCCTCTGACATATGACATTTTTCTTTTGATTTCATTAACTATTGAAGTTATCTCTTTCCTAAGGAAGAGTGAGAACCTAGAGGTTTTTGCTTATCTGTTTTGGCTTTTGAATCACCCAGCTAGTTAGGATTCCTAGAACACCACTCTATGTGCAGACTTTCCTGACAATTCAGGCCCTCTCATCTTTCAGCCAGTAAACTATTAAGCATCTATTAAAATTAGTGTTTAAAGGAGTTTGTAGTTGCCATATTATGTAAAAAAAAAAAAAAAAGGCAAGACTTCACTAAGATTTCAGCTACATAAATAATATGTTAAAGAAAGGACTAGAAGGAAATGCAGTAAAAATTACTAGTGGTCAGCTCTAAGTATTAGGATCATGAGTTGTTCTTATGTCCTTTTTTGTTCATATACATATATTAATAACAAGTTTATTGAAATATAATTCACAATCCATAAAGTTCAATCTTTTAGCGTGTACAGTTCAATGGCTTTAGTATATTCCTGGAGTTGTACATCACCACCATTCTCTAATTCCAGAACATTTTCATCACCCTAAAAGAAACAACATACTCATTAGCATCACTCCCATTCCCCCTCTCCCCAGCTCTTGCGACTATTAATCTGCTTTCTGTCTCTATGTATTCTGAACATTTCATATAAATGGAATCATACAATACGTGGACATTTGTATCTGGCGCCTTTCTCTTTTTGCATAATGTTTTCAAAGTGCATACATGTTGCAGCAGTTATCAGTACCTCATTTCTTTTAATTTTTTTTAACCTAACAAAAATATTTTTGCAGGTTTCCTCGAAAATGCTAATTCCCTCACTAAATTAAAAATACTATTAGATTTTATTATGACCACCTAGGGATAACTTGAAGTCTCATCCTAAAAAAATTTTTTTCATTAATATCATGCTTATTTCTAAGAACAGAGTAAAGTCTTCTGGTGTTATAAAGACTTTTTTTCCCCTCTGTAGCTATCATACATCCTGACTTACTACACTTTTTAACCTTTTGACCCACCCTCATCCATTTCTTGCATCCCCCACCCCACTTCTGGCAACCACCAATCTGTTTTCTGTTTGATTTGTTTTGTTTTGTTTTGTTTTAGATTCCACAGATAAGAGAGATCATATGGTATTTGTCTTTGTCTGACTTATTTCACTTAGCATAATGCCCTCCAGCCCCATCCATGTTGTCACAAATGGCAAGATTTCCTTCTTTTTTATGGCTGAATAATATTCCATTGTTCCATTTTCTATCTATCATCTATCTATCTATCTACCTACCTATGCTACATTTTCTTTTATCTATTCATCCATTGATAGACAATTAGGTTGTTTAAGTTATATATCATGGCTATTATAAATAATGCTGCAGTGAACATGGGGCTGCATATATCTTTTTGAGTTAGTGTTTTCATTTTCTTTGGATAAATACCCAAATGTGGAATTGCTGGGTCATATATGGTAGTTCTATTTTTAGTTTTTTGAGGAGTCTCCATACTGTTTTCCTAAGTGGCTACACCAATTTACGTTCCTACTAAGAGTGTACAAGGGTTACCTTTTCTCCACATCCTCACCAACACTTGTTATTTCTTGCCTTTTTGATAATAGCCATTCTAACAGGTGTGAATTGATATCTCATTGTCATTTTGATTTGCATTTCCCTGATGATTAATGACATTAAGCATCTTTTCATGTGCCTCTTGGCCATCTGTACCTCTTCTTTGGGAAAATGTCTATTCAGATCTTCTGCCCATTTTTTACTCAAATTGGGTTTTTTTTGTTGTTTTTCCTTTTGTTTTTTTGCTGTTGAGTTGTATGAGTTCTTTATATATTTTTGGATATTAATCCCTTATCAGATATATGATTTGCAAATATTTTCTCCCATTCAGTAGGTTGCCTTTTCATTTTGGTGGTGATTTCCTTTGCTGTGCATAAGTATTTTATTTATTTTATTTTATTTTATGTGTATATGCTAAAGTCTTTTAGTGTGATATAGTCCCACTTTATTTTTGCTTTTCTTTTGCTTTTGGTGCCAGATTAAAAACAATCATCACCAAGACCAATGTCAAGGAGCTTACAGCTATGTTTTCTTCTAGGATTTTAATGGTTTCAGGTCTTACATGCAAGTCTTTACTCCACTTTGAGTTAATTTTCATGCATGGCGTAAGACAGTGGTCAAGTTTCGTTCTTTATCATGTGGCTGTCCAGTTTTCCCAAAACCATTTATTGAAGAGACTGTCCTTTCCCCACTGTATATTTTTGACTCCTTTGTTGTAAATTAATTGACCATATATGTATGGGTTTACTTCTGGGCTCTCTATTCTGTCTCATTGATCTATGTGTGTTTTTATGCCAATACAATATTGTTTTAATTACTATGGTTTTGTAATATAGTTTGAAATCAGGGAGGGTGATGCCTCCATGTTTGTTTGTCCTTCTCATAATTGCTTTAGCTATTTGAGGGTTTTTTTGTGGTTCCATATACATTTTAGGATTATTTGTTCTATTTCTTTAAAAATGTCATTGGTATTTTGATACACATTGCATTGAATCTGAAGATTGCTTTAGATACTAAGGACATTTTAACAATAACAATTCTTCCAATCCATGAGTATGGAATATCTTTACATTTATTTGTGTCTTCTTCAATTTATTTCATTAATGACTTGTAGTCTTCAATATATAGGTCTTTCACATCCTTGGTTAAATTTATTCCTAGGTATTTTATTCTTTTCGAGGCAATTGTAAATGGAATTGTTTTCATTTCTTTCTGATAGTTCATTATTAGTGTACAAAAATGCAACAGATTTTTGTATATTAAATTTGTATCCTGCATCTTTACTGAATTCATTTACTAGCTCTAACAATTTTCTTTGATGGAGTCTTTAGGGTTTTCTGTATATAATATCATATCATCTGCAAATAGTGGCAGTTTTACTCCTCCCTTTCCAATTTGGATGCCTTTTATTTCTTTTTCTTGCCTAATTGCTCTGGCTAGGACGTGCACAAGAGTGGGCATCCCTGTCTTCTTCCTGATCTTAGAGGAAAAGCTTGCAGCTTTTCACCATTGAGTATAATGTTAGCTGTGGGCTTATCATCTATGGCCTTTATTATGTTGAAGCACATTTCCTCTATAACTACTTTGATTAGGGTTTTTATCATAAATGGTTGATGAATGTTTTCAAAGGCTTTTTCTGCCTCTATTAATATAATTATATGATTTTTATTCTTCATGTTGTTAATGTAGTGTGTCACACTGACTGATCTGAGAATGTTGAAATAGCCTTGCATCCCTGGAATAAATCCCATTTCATCATGGTGTATGATCCTCTTAATGTATTGTTGATTTT